TGACTTTAACGTAGCTATTTCTGTGAGCAGTTACAAGCTAATCACTCAGCTATTTCAATGCTAAATTCTATGCTAATTCCATTGTCAAGGGGTGCCTCTGCGGATGTGTATGCTTTAACTTTTAACATAGCTATTTCTGTGACCAGTCACAAGCTAATCATTCAGCCATTTCAATGCTAAATTATATGCTAATTCCTTTGTCAAGGCGCTTTGTTCCTCTCACACAGCTTAAAGGCCGTGATCTGAACGTGGCTCTTTCACTCCAGCGCTGTCCTACCAGACAGTCTCGTCCCTTCACCTGATGAAGGCCGCTTGTGTTGTGGTCGAAACGTCGTGAGAATATTATTGTGTTATTTTATTTTATCAATTTATTATTGTATTCTCATTCTACGTGACTTTACCGAAAGAACCAAAGAAGGTGAATCATTGCAGTCACGAAAGCTTTAAATCGAAATGTTCTCACCAAGATTCTGTCCGTCGTCTGCATACTTGAACGATGTTAGGTTGTTGATGGCTACATGAACTTAGTTGTCAGAAGAGGAGGATGGCGATGATAAAGTACAGTATCGTACATCGTAGTACGCTGCTGCGTTTGCCTGCCGCGCGAAATTAAAAGTATTTAACAATTTTGTCACATCGCTAATCGCCATCATAAGATCGAAATATCGTAAGTCGGGGACCACCGTAAGTCGGGGACCGTCGTAAGTCGGGGACCGTCGTAAGTCGGGGACCGTCGTAAGTCGGGGACTGTCTGTACTGCATATAAATCCACTGTCTGCCATAGAGATCCACAGACTGACACATGGACGTGAGTTGTGATTAGCCCGAGTTTGCAAGTGTGCCAAGTTCATTGTCTCTAACCCTCATCACATGCAGTTTGGCTCTGCACATGAGGATAATATCCAGCTCTGAGATTTAAAACGATACCGAAATGAATAAATAGAGTTCGTTCCTTGCTCAGTCCGCTTGTCCTGGCGAGGGTTGTGGCGGTCCACACCTCCCTTTCCCTGGCAATGGACTCTAGCACTACTACACTACACTATATACTACTACTCTATATACTACTACACTACACTATACACTACTATACACTACACTATATACTACTACACTATATACTACTACACTATACACTACTACACTATACTATACACTACTACACTCTACACATACTACTACACTATATACTACTACACTATACACTACTACACTATACACTACTACACTATACACTACTACACTACACTATATACTACTGCACTAGACTATACACTACACTATATACTACTACACTATACACTACTACACTAGACTATATACTACTATACACTACACTATATACTACTACACTATACACTACGACACTATACACTGCTACACTACACTATACACTACTACACTACAATACACTAAACTATATGCTACTACACTATACACTACTACACTACACTATACACTACACTATACACCACTACACTCTACACTATTTACTACTACACTATATACTACACTACTACACTACACTATATACTACTACACTAGACTATACACTACTATACACTACACTATATACTACTACACTATACACTACGACACTATACACTGCTACACTACACTATACACTACTACACTGCAATACACTAAACTATATGCTACTACACTATACACTACTACACTACACTATACACTACACTATACACTACACTATACACTACTACACTCTACACTATATACTACTACACTATACACTACTACACAACACTATACACTACTACACTATACACGACTACACTACACTATACACTACACTATATACTACTACACTAGACTATACACTACTATACACTACACTATATACTACTACACTATACACTACTACACTACACTATGTACTACTACACTATGTACTACTACACTATGTACTACTACACTATGTACTACTACACTATACACTACACTATAAACTACTACACTACACTATACACTAATATACACTACATTATATACTACTACACACTAACTACTACACTACACTATACACTACACTATACACTACTACACTACACTATACACTACTACACTATACACTACTTTACACTACTACACTATACACTACTACACTACACTATACACTACTATACACTACACCACTATATACACCATACACTACTATACACAGACTCTAGCTCTTCCTGGGAAATTCCCAGGCGTTACACTTCTATACACTACACTACTATACACTACACACTACTATACACTGCTATACACTATACACGACTATACACTACTATACACTACACTACTAGACACTACACACTACTGCACACTACTACTATATGCAGTGAGGGAAAAAAGTATTTGATCCCCTGCTGATTTTGTACGTTTGCCCACTAACAAAGAAATGATCAGTCTATAATTTTAATGGGAGGTTTATTTGAACAATGAGAGACAGAATAACAACAAAATCCAGAAAAACGCATGTCAAAAATGTTGTTAATTGATTTGCATTTTAATGAGGGAAATAAGTATTTGACCCCCTCTCAATCAGAAAGATTTCTGGCTCCCAGGTGTCTTTTATACAGGTAACGAGCTGAGATTAGGAGCACACTCTTAAAGGGAGTGCTCCTCATCTCAGCTTGTTACCTGTATAAAAGGCACCTGTCCACAGAAGCAATCAATCAATCAGATTCCAAACTCTCCACCATGGCCAAGACCAAAGAGCTCTCCAAGGATGTCAGGGACAAGATTGTAGACCTACACAAGGCTGGAATGGGCTACAAGACCATTGCCAAGCAGCTTGGTGAGAAGGTGACAACAGTTTGTGCGATTATTCGCAAATGGAAGGCTCCATGCAAGATCTCACCTTGTGGAGTTGCAATGATCATGAGAACGATGTGGAATCAGCCCAGAACTACACGAGAGGATCTTGTCAATGATCTCAAGGCAGCTGGGACCATAGTCACCAAGAAAACAATTGGTAAGACACTACGCTGTGAAGGACTGAAATCCTGCAGCGCCCACAAGGTCCCCCTGCTCAAGAAAGCACATACATGCCCATCTGAAGTTTGCCAATGAACATCTGAATGATTCAGAGGACAACTGGGTGAAAGTGTTGTGGTCAGATGAGACCAAAATGGAGCTCTTTGGCATCAACTCAACTTGCCGTGTTTGGAGGAGGAGGAATGCTGCCTATGATGCCAAGAACACCATCCCCACCGTCAAACATGGAGGTGGAAACATGCTTTGGGGGTGTTTTTCTGCTAAGGGGACAGGACAACTTCACCGCATCAAAGGGACGAGGGACGGGGCCATGTACCGTCAAATATTGGGTGAGAACTCCTTTCCTCAGCCAGGGCATTGAAAATGGGTCGTGGATGGGTATTCCAGCATGACAATGACCCAAAACACATGGCCAAGGCAACAAAGGAGTGGCTCAAGAAGAAGCACATTAAGGTCCTGGAGTGGCCTAGCCAGTCTTCAGACCTTAATCCCATAGAAAATCTGTGGAGGGAGCTGAAGGTTCGAGTTGCCAAACGTCAGCCTCGAAACCTTAATGACTTGGAGAAGATCTGTAAAGAGGAGTGGGACAAAATCCCTCCTGAGATATGTGCAAACCTGGTGGCCAACTACTATAAACGTCTGACCTCTGTGATTGCCAACAAGGGTTTTGCCACCAAGTACTAAGTCATGTTTTTCAGAGGGGTCAAATACTTATTTCCCTCATTAAAATGCAAATCAATTTATAACATTTTTGACATGCGTTTTTCTGGATTTTGTTGCTATTCTGTCTATCACTGTTCAAATAAACCTACCATTAAAATTATAGACTGATCATTTCTTTGTCAGTGGGCAAACGTACAAAATCAGCAGGGGATCAAATACTTTTTTCCCTCACTGTACTACACTACTATACACTACTATATACTACACTACTATACACTACAACACACTACTATACACTATACACGACTATACACTACTATACACTACACACTACTACACACTACTATACACGACTATACACTACAAGACTATACACTACACTACTATACACTACACACTACTATATACAACACTACTATACACTACACTACTACAACTACTATACACTACACACTACTATACACTATACACGACTATACACTACTATACACTACACACTAATATACACTATACACGACTATACACTATACACTACACTACTATACACTCCTATATACTACACACTACTATACACTACTATATACTACACTACTATACACTACACACTACTATACACTACACACTACTATACACTACTATATACTACACTACTATACACTACTATACACTACTATATACTACACTACTATACACTACTATACACTACACACTACTATACACTACTATACACTACTATACACTACACACTACTATACACTACTATATACTACACTACTACTATACACTACACACTACTATACACTACTATATACTACACTACTATACACTACACACTACTATACACTACTATACACTACTATACACTACTATATACTACACTACTACTATACACTACTATACACTACTATACACTACTATATACTACACTACTACTATACACTACACACTACTATACACTACACACTACTATACACTACTATATACTACACTACTATACACTACACACTACTATACACTACTATACACTACTATACACTACACACTACTATACACTACTATATACTACACTACTACTATACACTACACACTACTATACACTACTATATACTACACTACTATACACTACACACTACTATACACTACTATATACTACACTACTACTATACACTATACACTACTTTACAGACTCTGGCTCTTCCCAGGGACTTCCCAGGCGTTCCCAGGCCAGCCTTGCGACATCATCCCACCTCCGGCAGCGTGCTCCTCGACCCAGTGGGATGTTGCTGCTGCCCGGTAGAGACCCAGTGGGGGGGGGGGGGGGGTGGTGAGATCCTTACTGGGTGCCCACACCGCCTCAACTGGCTCCTCTCGAGCCGCAGGAGGAGGCGGCTGGACTCTGAGGCTCTCCCGGATTACTGAGCAGCTCCTCGCTCCGGCTACGGCGAGAATTCCCGGCGATCCTGCGGGGAAAAAAACCTCATTTAGGGCCCCTTGTAAGCCGCCACAAAATCAAAAAGAAACTAAGCAAAAATCCGTTGAATTTAGATTTAAAGCTTTCCCGACTGCAGGGATTCATATTCTTGGTTCTTTCGGTAAAGTCACCGCCACGTAGATGGGAAACAATAAAATAACAAAACGCCACTTTTTTCAAATTTTCTTGCTGCGGTTGTCACACCTGATGATGATTGCTTGTGCTGCAGTCGAAACGTCGTGAGGATTTTATTGTTTTATATAAATATTTTTTAAAATTATTATTTTATTGTTTCCCTTCTATGTGACTTTACCGAAAGAACCAAGAATATAAAAATCCGTTGGTCCGGCTGTCAGCTGTGAACCACTGCGAGTGGGGAAAGTGCAGTCCCCTCAGACGACGGTGGGACCAGGGGTCGTGTGAACTTTGACAGGGGGTTCTCAAAGCTAGCTCTGTGATAACCACTTCCACGGCTCCTCGGGATTTCGTCAATCCTCCTGACGTCACACCAATGCTATGCAAATTGTGGGGAAGGGATGGTGGTTGGATCCTACATTTTTTTGAGCTGTAAAAACGTGCTGAGAATGTGATGAAAACATCGTGCAAAAATGTGGTTATGCAATAACTTTGGCCGGAGTACAGCGAATAAAATTTAAAAATATCTGCTCGACTGTTATGTGACGAAGCTGTGCGTGGTGGTGTCCCGGGGAGCGGTGGCGCAGCGGTGACCCGAGTACGATTTCAACTCATGGCCAATTGACACCAGTGACGATTATCCGAACCTGTCCTGGGCCTCCCCTATGGCGACTCAGACTGAAATGACCACCTGGTGCGGGGTGTAAGACATCAGCACAGGGGAGACAAAGGCTGCCGGGTCTGGTGCTGCTGTTCTGCAGAATGTGAGTGGAGTTTGTGTGATCTCCCCCTGTTCTAGAGAGTGAGTGAGTGGAGTTTGTGTGATCTCCCCCTGTTCTACAGAGGGAGTGAGTGGAGTTTGTGTGATCTCCCCCTGTTCTACAGAGAGAGTGGAGTTTGTATGATCTCCCCCTGTTCTACAGAGGGAGTGAGTGGAGTTTGTGTGATCTCCTCCTGTTCTACAGAGTGATTGGGTGGAGTTTGTGTGATCTCCTCCTGTTCTACAGAGTGAGTGAGTGTAGTTTGTATGATCTCCCCCTGTTCTACAGAGTGAGTGAGTGGAGTTTGTGTGATCTCCCCCTGTTCTACAGAGAGAGTGGAGTTTGTATGATCTCCCCCTGTTCTACACAGAGAGTGAGTGGAGTTTGTATGATCTCCCCCTGTTCTACTGAGTGAGTGAGTGGAGTTTGTATGATCTCCCCCTGTTCTAGAGTGAGTGAGTGGAGTTTGTGTGATCTCCCCCTGTTCTACAGAGTGAGTGAGTGGAGTTTGTGTGATCTCCTCCTGTTCTACAGAGTGAGTGGAGTTTATGTGATCTCCTCCTGTTCTACAGAGTGAGTGAGTGGAGTTTGTGTGATCTCCCCCTGTTCTACAGAGTGAGTGAGTGGAGTTTGTGTGATCTCCTCCTGTTCTACAGAGTGAGTGAGTGTAGTTTGTATGATCTCCCCCTGTTCTACAGAGTGAGTGAGTGGAGTTTGTGTGATCTCCCCCTGTTCTACAGAGAGAGTGGAGTTTGTATGATCTCCCCCTGTTCTACACAGAGAGTGAGTGGAGTTTGTATGATCTCCCCCTGTTCTACTGAGTGAGTGAGTGGAGTTTGTATGATCTCCCCCTGTTCTACAGAGTGAGTGAGTGGAGTTTGTGTGATCTCCCCCTGTTCTACAGAGTGAGTGAGTGGAGTTTGTGTGATCTCCTCCTGTTCTACAGAGTGAGTGGAGTTTATGTGATCTCCTCCTGTTCTACAGAGTGAGTGAGTGGAGTTTGTGTGATCTCCCCCTGTTCTACAGAGTGAGTGAGTGGAGTTTGTGTGATCTCCTCCTGTTCTACAGAGTGAGTGGAGTTTATGTGGTCTCCTCCTGTTCTACAGAGTGAGCGAGTGTAGTTTGTATGATCTCCTCCTGTTCTACAGAGTGAGTGAGTGGAGTTTGTATGATCTCCCCCTGTTCTACAGAGTGAGTGAGTGGAGTTTGTGTGATCTCCCCCTGTTCTACAGAGTGAGTGGAGTTTGTATGATCTCCCCCTGTTCTACAGAGTGAGTGAGTGGAGTTTGTATGATCTCCCCCTGTTCTACAGAGTGAGTGAGTGGAGTTTGTGTGATCTCCCCCTGTTCTACAGAGTGAGTGGAGTTTGTATGATCTCCCCCTGTTCTACAGAGTGTGTGAGTGGAGTTTGTATGATCTCCCCCTGTTCTACAGAGGGAGTGAGTGGAGTTTGTATGATCTCCCCCTGTTCTACAGAGTGAGTGAGTGGAGTTTGTGTGATCTCCCCCTGTTCTACAGAGTGAGTGGAGTTTGTATGATCTCCCCCTGTTCTACAGAGTGTGTGAGTGGAGTTTGTATGATCTCCCCCTGTTCTACAGAGGGAGTGAGTGGAGTTTGTATGATCTCCCCCTGTTCTACAGAGTGAGTGAATATAGTTCGTATGATCTCCCCCTGTTCTACAGAGTGAGTGGAGTTTGTATGATCTCCCCCTGTTCTACAGAGTGAGTGAGTGGAGTTTGTGTGATCTCCCCCTGTTCTACAGAGTGAGTGAGTGGAGTTTGTATGATCTCCCCCTGTTCTACAGAGTGAGTGGAGTTTGTATGATCTCCCCCTGTTCTACAGAGTGAGTGAGTGGAGTTTGTATGATCTCCCCCTGTTCTACAGAGTGAGTGAGTGGAGTTTGTATGATCTCCCCCTGTTCTACACAGTGAGTGAGTGGAGTTTGTATGATCTCCCCCTGTTCTACAGAGTGAGTGGAGTTTGTATGATCTCCCCCTGTTCTACAGAGTGAGTGGAGTTTGTATGATCTCCCCCTGTTCTACAGAGTGAGTGAGTGGAGTTTGTATGATCTCCCCCTGTTCTACAGAGTGAGTGAGTGGAGTTTGTATGATCTCCCCCTGTTCTACACAGTAAGTGAGTGGAGTTTGTATGATCTCCCCCTGTTCTACAGAGTGAGTGCAGTTTGTATGATCTCCCCCTGTTCTACAGAGTGAGTGGAGTTTGTATGATCTCCCCCTGTTCTACACAGTGAGTGAGTGGAGTTTGTGTGATCTCCCCCTGTTCTACAGAGTGAGTGAGTGGAGTTTGTATGATCTCCCCGTGTTCTACAGAGTGAGTGACTGAGTGAAGTTTGTATGATCTCCCCCTGTTCTACAGAGTGAGTGGAGTTTGTATGATCTCCCCCTGTTCTACAGAGTGAGTGAGTGGAGTTTGTATGATCTCCCCCTGTTCTACAGAGTGAGTGGAGTTTGTATGATCTCCCCCTGTTCTACAGAGTGAGTGTAGTTTGTATGATCTCCCCCTGTTCTACAGAGTGAGTGGAGTTTGTATGATCTCCCCCTGTTCTACAGAGTGAGTGTAGTTTGTATGATCTCCCCCTGTTCTACAGAGTGAGTGAGTGGAGTTTGTATGATCTCCCCCTGTTCTACAGAGTGAGTGGAGTTTGTGTGATCTCCCCCTGTTCTACAGAGTGAGTGGAGTTTGTATGATATCCCCCTGTTCTACAGAGTGAGTGAGTGGAGTTTGTATGATCTCCCCCTGTTCTACAGAGTGAGTGAGTGGAGTTTGTGTGATCTCCCCCTGTTCTACACAGTGAGTGAGTGGAGTTTGTATGATCTCCCCGTGTTCTACAGAGTGAGTGACTGAGTGAAGTTTGTATGATCTCCCCCTGTTCTACAGAGTGAGTGGAGTTTGTATGATCTCCCCCTGTTCTACAGAGTGAGTGAGTGGAGTTTGTATGATCTCCCCCTGTTCTACAGAGTGAGTGTAGTTTGTATGATCTCCCCCTGTTCTACAGAGTGAGTGAGTGGAGTTTGTATGATCTCCCCCTGTTCTACAGAGTGAGTGGAGTTTGTGTGATCTCCCCCTGTTCTACAGAGTGAGTGGAGTTTGTATGATATCCCCCTGTTCTACAGAGTGAGTGAGTGGAGTTTGTATGATCTCCCCCTGTTCTACAGAGTGAGTGAGTGGAGTTTGTGTGATCTCCCCCTGTTCTACAGAGTGAGTGAGTGGAGTTTGTGTGATCTCCCCCTGTTCTACACAGTGAGTGGAGTTTGTGTGCAGCTAGGCGAATGTTTCGTGCGGATACTCCGCATAGGCGACTCTGCCGTGCTATTTCCTTTGACCTCTCTTATCGGAGGCATCGTCTCCCCTGTGCGTCCTCTGCTAGCCAGCCCTTCGTGGTCTACAGATGCCGGTGTGGTTCCACTATTCTTGCCTTTGAACGCAAGAGGAATGTGGCCTGCTACATCCTACAAAGACAAAGGTCCCCAGTGTAGCCTGTAACAGACTGTTGGGGCAAGTGCTGTTAGCGAGGCCGGAACGGCACACGAGGCTGGTTGGGGGTGGCTGGCAGCACGCCCGGCCGCCTTTGTCTCCCCAGCGCACCGGTTACTCATTTGAGGCCGAGTCAACCTAGTGAAAGGCCCCGGTCCGGTTCAGATAATCGTCACTGGCGTTGGCAGTGAGCGGGAATCGAACTTGGGTCGCCAGGTTCGTAGCCGAGTTCAAGTTTAATTTATTAGGTGTAGGCCTGTGAGCCATGCGGCTCCTGAGTTCGGGTGCAACCACAACAAACAGAAACATGAACAGAGAAACATCTTAAAGCGACGACGCGCTACAGAAACATCCTGGGATAAACCAGCAGCGACTACACACGGACTGCACGCCTGCCTTCTCATAGCGCATAATTACAACGATAAGACAAAACCAACTCTCATCACACAACTCGCCAGTCACTTTGTTGCCTTGGTAACAACATTACCGGCTGGAATCACCCAGAAATGTCTGTCCGTCCCGCGCGTGACGTCACTCCACGTGAGGCCCACCCCCCCCCGCGCGTGACGTCACTCCACGTGAGGCCCACCCCCCCGCG